TTGCCCCTTCCACCATGTGAGGAGGCAGCGAGAAGTTGCCATTCTGTGAAACAGAAGTGGGTCCTTACCAGACACGAAATCTGCTAGCACCTTGATCTTGGACTTCCAGCCTCCAGAACTGTGAGAAATAAATTTCTGTTGTTTGTAAGATACCAATTTATGGTATTTTGTTACAGCAGCACCAATGGACAAAGACACACACCAAAAAAAAAAAAAAAAAAATGACATGTTTATCCAACTTTGGAAGCGAAGCAGCACTCCCTAACCACACAGCAATGCAGGCATGAGATCTGAGGTTTATAGCCAAGCTGTTTGGGAAGTAGGCCCTGCTATTTAGTTATACTTAGAAAGGGCTTCAGATCAATTATTCTAAAACCAGAATGATCATTACTGACATAGGTCTTTCTGCTTTAGTTGGTTAACATTTCACTTAGCTTCTCAACACCCTGATCTCCACAATTTAATGTACAGATGGACCCTGGGACTCTATGCAAACACTTGATAGGGAGTGAGAAGGAATGACCACTTTCTGCCCACCCATTCCAACAGACCATCCTAAGGCTGATAGTTAGCACAAGAGAGCTAACTATGATGTACCCATAAAGTTTCTCCAGAATTATATATTTTTTACTACCATTCTGCGCTGGTAGGCTCTGGCAAGGAATATTCCATTTTGGTTAATATCTGTCTGTTAAAGAATAGCCACAAAGAAGCCCTCCTATTTTTCAATAGATTCTTTGTAGGACCCTGTTGGGTTAGTATGGTCTTCTGGCTATCAGGTCCACGAAGATCTTTATTCTAGTATAAGGTATATAGAATAAACAAAGCATCATCAGAGAACAATCATATATTCAGACAACTTATACTTTGATGGAGTACAGGATGATTAAGTGCTAAGATAAATCGTTTCTAGATTTTTATGTTGACCAAATTAGACATAATAACAAAAGATACATGTCATATGATTGGAAATTCAATAGTAGTCAGGTTGTGGTAGCCAGTACACCCTTATTTCTGCCAATTTTCCCCCTCCGTGA